TTGGTTTAGGCAGGAACCTGTTCCCCCTTTCCAGTACTGCGTACTGCCACTAGATGTTTTAAATTTAGACATGAGAATGCAGACGAAAACCCCACTGAACATGTGCTACACTCTGCTTCATAAATGCAACCAGAGCTGACCTTATTTGATCTCCTCCAACACTGATCCACAAATCCCATCACGGTTGCAGGAAAAAACTCCTGGAATACAAATGCAGAAAAACAAGTCAAAAATAGGGAATGATTTCATAGCACAGCAGATAAAACGTAATCTAACAAAAAAATTACCCAAGATGACAGCAAGCAAAAAGCACAGCCTGTCCATGTGTTGACGACAACCAGGAGGTGAGAGGTAGTGAAACAGTAAATTTATGACCTGTGCACACATTTCCCTTCAAAGAAATGTGACCTGTGATTGGCTCATTGAATGGAACATTTTCCTCTGCGGTTGTTTTGTGACAGATGTATGATGCAACAACAACGAATTAAATCAACGGAAACCAACCAACAAAACCTGAATGAGGGCAGCAGGCATTATCGTCTATTTTGAAACGAAATTATGTTATTGTCATATCATTGACACTCTTTTGTCATCAATTTCCTATTAGAGGATGAAAAACCTATTCTCTACTATAAGCTAGTGGTTTTTTGTGTGCGCAAAAATCCCCTGAAAAACAAAAAGTACATTTATTAATGTCAAAATAGCATTAAGAAAATTCTGATTTTACTGCCTTATTTAGAGGATTTGGCCCTCGTTTTTGAGGTCTGCTCAGCAACAACCATAGACTGTATAAAACATGGACGTAAAGGCAGGGTTGGTCATTTTATCCAGATACACTTTTTAAGATTTTGGTTGAAATTGTCTTTCGGTCCTGACAAATGAAGCCTGTAAAAAAAGGTACCCATCTGATGAACCAATCACGTCTCACTGTCTCCTGTCTCCCTGCTCGTTCTATACTCTTGTGTGCACTAGCCCACACTCAAAGCGTGTCACCGATGACGGAGTTTATACTGTGAGTTTGTTGTTGGCCGTTGTTGTGAGTAGTAAAATAGTCAGGTTTTTTAAAAATAGATATTTTGATAAAGTTTAGTGTTTACTTACCTCTAAATGTAGTTTCTTCACAATGCAAGCGATGAGCTGAGGTCCGCTTCTGGAGCAACGGCGCTCGTGCATGTAAGTGAGGGCGTGGCTTTTGAGGGAGCACAGAGGAGGGGGTGGGTGTAGACGGATGCTACTTTCAAAATCAGGCTAGTTTTTGAAAATGACCAACCCTGCCTTTAAGCTCTGTTCAGACTGCTACATTTACGCCCCTGTGACGTTGCTTTCAATCTGAATGTTGCGGAGGTGCAATGGGGGGGCGAAGTGATCCACCCTCTGTACCATCTTTGGAGGAGTAACAGAGGCGTTACATAGCTGAGACAGGATCAGCGGAGCCAGCGGGGAGGCACGGCGCTGTGTGTGTGTGTGTGTGTGTGTGTGTGTGTGTGTGCATGTCTGACTGTGTGTGTATGTGAAGCTCCTGTTGTGCTGTGCTTCTGCAACGCCGAAAAGAAAGTGAATTCACAGACTGGCACTCCAATATCACGCTGTCACAAAATCAATATGAATGCACAAAGACGTGATGAAGGTTGAGCTTAGTTACGGCTCTTTAATGAAAAAGCTTTAGTACTTTATACTTACTGATCGTTCTCAGAGACAGTGTCAGACTCACACTCTTTTTTGCACCCTTGGCTGGTTATGCTTTGTGCGCATGTGCTTGGGTCTTTCTTCAGTCACTATCTGTCTTGCCACCAAAAGTGTGAACCTTGACAACGAAGCTGTGAACTAACCTGCAGCTTCAGTGTGCCTGTGTGATGAGCTGTGCCGTCGTATGAGGGGCTTTTTTGTCAGTGTGGGTTTCCTGTGAGCCGGACTGATGCCAGGGTGCTACATCATGTGTTATAAGTTGACTTTGTTGTTTACTCTTTGTTTTCATGGGATGTCTTGCAAACATTGGGTCAGGGTCTTGAAGAAGCTATAAGAAAATGTTACAGTATCTGTCTTGTGTTGCGAGCTTTTGTATGTATTCCCTCTACACAAAAAAGAGGATAAAGGTTTTAGTATCTTTAACAGAATCAGCTCCAACATAATTGATACTTGTATTGCATCAGACTGCACAGGCAAAGCAGCATGGTTGATCGTTAGCTTGAGATAAAAACAGGAAATTGCCAGAGAACAGTCTAGATTCAGACCAGCAGCCATTACAAACTTTATGAAATTGATCTCAATTAAGAATATAAAGATTCTGAAGATGAAGTGTAATCAACCACGACAAACACTTATGAGATTGTTCTTCATTTCTGATTTTTACAGCTCCTTTAATTTTCAAAAGTCATCTCAGTGGCGCAAGGAAATAAGACCACATGACGCATATTTTCCGTGATGAATGTTGTGGTTAATACAGCCAGCAATATTTGAACTATGCAATGACAGAATGGTCTATATATATCAACAATATAAAATTCATTTTTTTTGTTCCTCTGGTCTTAGGCCTGTTACATCTTAGATGTATTAAGAGCAGAATAGGTGCAGAAGTCAGAAGTCTGCGGTTCCTTCTTCTTCTTTGGTCTCTTTGATTTCTGATGGATTTCCACAGCAGCATAGCACACATCGTCATCCTAAGATTGAATATTTGTCATTTAGAAGCCCAAACTTGAACATATTTAATGCTTTGATACATTACACTTTAGTGATAGATACCTGGCTCTGTCTTGGATGACCTCTAGTGTCAGGTCTTTGCTGATCAACAGGATGTTCTTCAGCTGCAGGAATAAATATAACATCAGTACAGCACAATGAAACTGACACAGTGGAAGAGACATTAAGGTGTCTTTGTGATTAAAAACAAACATGTGGATACATATTCTAGAAAAAGTGAGGTAGTTACCCTTCTTACAGCAGTGATAGACCACAAGTGAGGAGAGGAGAGAGGAGACAATAGATACAACTGGACACAGACAGAAGATCAGAATCCAGCACTCATTACAGTCCTGAAGCATCTTGGGGCAAGAGGTCGCATTCGGTTCTGCATCTAAATGAGTTGTGTAAAAAGCTGTGTTGATTAAATTCATTTAACTCTGATCTACAAACACAATTCCTAAAAAGTTGGGACATATGTAGAATCTAAAAAACATTGAAACCCCATATTTGAATGAAAATAGCACAAAGACAACGTGAATTGTTGAAACTGGGATATTTTATTGTTTTTGGAAAAGTATATGCCCAATTTGATGCAAACGACATGTTTCAAAAAAATTGGGAAGGTGGAAAGAAAAGGCTGGAAAATGATTAACAAAAAAACACCCAAGGTTAACTGTCAACAAGTTTCCAGCTCGTCTCCTCCTGCCTGAAACAAAGCCAGCAAGAGGCTCTTTCTGCTGCCTCCCCCAACACACATACACACGCTAACACATATAGATCTGTACACTCGTAGTCGTTCAAACACCTCAGAGACATAGATCGTGCTGAGACCAACCTTAACTCAGTCCTGCCTGTGTAGACAATAGACCACGCCAGAAGACTACTCTGTTAAGTGTCCGCCATCTTACAGGATGCCGCCATCTTTCCCTCTCTCTCTCTCTCTCTCTCTCTTTCTCTCGTCCACACACACACACGCAAACACACACACACACACACACACAGACACATACACCCACACACACACACACACACACAAGTGTGTTGTTGATTGAGTTGTATTGATTTTGGATTGATGTGGCTTTAATTAAATAAACTCTATTACAATTTAAGAAAGCAGTTGTTTGTGATTACTTGTGTATAATCATTGTAATACAGCAGGGTGCAAGGGCTTTGTGTACAGAATTCAAGCCTTCAATTTATGAATTACAGGTTGTTATTTATTAATAATATTAGTAGTTAATTAATTAATTCATGACTGAATTTTGTGATCATTTTGTTATTTTCCCCTGATTTTAGGGTGGTGCCCCATTCTGATCAACTCAGTTTAATAACATTGTTAATTTATATCAATTATTCATTAAGAAAACATATTAATATTAATTTGATAATCAAATTTTGACTATCTAAACATAATTGTTGTTCACATATTAGCTCTGCAAAACCCCAACAATACTGTGTGTGTGATTGACCTAATTATAAACACACTAGTGTACAAATTGAACTACTATTGATGCACCTAGCAACCATGTTGGATTTTAACTCGGGATTATGAAACGTCTCTGGGTTTCTAAGTAGAAATTCTGACTACAGGGGGGGCGCTCCTGATGAAGTTTCAAATGAGCAACTGGGAGTTCCTGACTTCCAAGATCAAATAGAACGCACCATTACTGCACATGGCACGAGTAACATGAACATTTTATGAAGGCACCATTAATGCTGAACCATGTATACAGGAGTAAGAGCTACATGTGCTGCCAAATAGAGAACTTCTTTTCTTACGTGTTTCAGCAACACAATCCCAAACTATGTTCTGGACATTTTACGACAGTATGTCCCTGTAAGAAAGAGTCCAGGTGCTAAACTGGCACTTCCTGCAGTCCCGACTTGTCACCCATTGAAAGTGTTTTTTAACTTTATGAAAGGTGTAAAAGGAGTCCTTAAACTGTTGAGGATTTTAAATCCTACATTAAGCAAGAATGGTAAAACATTACACTCTTAAAGTGACAGAAACTGGTCTCCTCAGTTCCCAAAACGCTTTAAAGTGTTGTTTAAAGAAAAGTGTGATGCAACAGAGCGGTACACATGACCCTGTCCTGACTTTTGAAAAGTGTTGCTAGCATTAAATTCAAAACGGCGTATAATTTTCTGTAAACATTTTCTTTTTCTTGTGGCTTATTTCAAATCAATTCAGGGTTTTAATATTTTTAGATTCATCACATTTTGTTTGATTTACTTTTTAACACAACGTGCAAACTTTTTGCCCAAAAAAACTATAACATGAGAAAGTCAATGTTCTTATTTAATTTTTTGTAGTATTTAACTTTGCAGACAGGTTGAGTCTTTCTGAATGTATATATTATATTTGTGTGTGTGTGTGTGTGTGTGTGTGTGTGTGTGTTGTGTGTGTGTGTTCACACCTCTTCTTTTTTCACTTCTTAATAGAATTTCTGCCACTTCTGTTTCGAGTTAGTTGTAGTCATATTGGTCATTGATGATCTGGTGATCATCATCCTGTACAACACTTTCTTCGCAAATTAATCATTCATTTTACAAAAGTATGAATGTGTTGTCTGATGATCTTAGCGGATGATGTTTATGGTCTGACATCATTAATTCAGTGAATGATTTTATGTATTATTCAAATGATTGAATCCACTGAAATCACAGTCACACAAGACAGAGCGTACTTACTGAATATGATTCTTGTTGTGATGTTGCTGTAGATATAAATATATTTAGAAGTTATTTGCTCCTTATCCTCCACTTTTTGTTCTTCAGTTCCACAGTAGTAAAGACCGTCATCTGACTCAGTGATGTTCAAGATCAGCAGGTCGTAGGAGTCAGAGTGTGTGTGTGTGTGTGTGTGTGTGTGTGTGTGTGTGTGTGTGTGTGTGTGTGTGTGGTGTGAGAGAGAGAGATTGTATGATGGAAACAAAGTGTGGTTGTTGCTGCTCTGACACAGGAAAAGGTACAAGACAAACCACAAATAAGCCACCAACAGAATGGGAGGCGTTGTGACAACATTACAATTATACAATAAGTTATTTTGAAGTTCATCAGTAATGTTCAAAATATATATTACATATAAGTCATCAACAGAAGACAGACGAAACATGGTGCCACATTATCCATTTGAAAACCTCTGAATTTCTCATCTCATTGGGAACTCATCATTTGTTGTTGTTTCTAGCCACAACACAAACTTTTTTATTGAACCAGGATTCATGCAGTCATGCACATAACCCTTCCACACATCGTGCTCACTGCAGTGGACAGCTATTCAGAAGCCTTTATCCACTAAGTTCATAGAGTTTGATAGATTGGTTTCACATCAGCCACTTCAGCAGACGTTGGTAAGTCAATCCATACACTGCCACCCACTGGCCAGCAGTTGTAAGTGCACCAGAAATTTCTCAGAATCAAGATGGCTGACAGAAGGTTAGAAATGAGTTTTCTTTTGAGATCCTAGTATAGAAATGTTGACGGCCTCAGTGTTGGCCTCTCTACCTGTTTGTTCTCTCTTTTGCTTGCTGTTCTCCTTGTTGCAGGTAGATGTGGGTGGAGTCTGAGACGACTCTGTAATGCAGCACACCTGAGCATGCTGGTTTCAGGATGCTAATAAAGCAGACCTGCTCAGTCCTCTCAACTCTTCCCTGGCCACCAGTCTGCCGTCAGCATTTGTTTGTATTGTAATGTGTTGTAGACATATACTCATTCATCCACACACACACACACACACACACACACACACACACATACACACACACACACACACACACACACACACACACACATACACACACACACAACATTACTGACAAAAGTATAGTAAAACCTTCAAATAGATAAGTTTGACCTTGAACCCTTGAGTATCAGAGTGGTCCCTTTTTCGGTCTGGACTCTGAGCCCAACATGTCTTCCCTTGTGTATTATAAACTCCGTACATACAACAACCAAAGAGGGGAAATGAATCCTCACACTTCCTTCAATTAACTTTTAATGCTTTTATTTATTTTCATTTAATTGCTCTTATTACGTCTTTATTTCTTGCACGGATTACAAGACACCATGGACGGTCAGAAGACGTTCAGAATAACTTAGAAGCAACTTCTAATGAGACAAGTGTTGTTTAAGATGATGTGACATTAGCAGATGTGTTTTCTTGATTAAAGTGCGACCATGTCTGGTTTTGAATGTTGGTTTAGGCAGGAACCTGTTCTCCCCTCTTTCCAGTACTGCGTTCTGCCACTACATGTTTTAAATTTAGACATGAGAATGCAGACGAAAACCCCACTGAACATGTGCTACACTCTGCTTCATAAGTGCAACCAGAGCTGACCTCATTTGATCTCACAAAGGTGGGACGTGGTCACCCATATGACATAGATTCAGATATATTGATTGACTGATAGAACGTTATTGTCAGAGAACACTCTCAATAATGTTTTGCATATCTCAGCGGCTCCATTTGGAATATAAAAATTAAAGACAAGATACAAATATGCAAACATTTGACCCAACATTCAAACACTAAACAAGTATTCAGAAGCCTTTAATGTGCTTTGATCTGAGATTATTCTCCATTTTTAATTTAAGGATTGACTGGTGTAGTAAAGAGTTCACCGTTCATTCCTTAAAACTGACTGGTGCACTCCTGCATGTGTAACAGAGTTAGAATCTACCTCTATGTTGAATTTTTACAAACAGATAAGGCTGTCGCTACATGGTGGTTTAATAGAGCAACTGTGAGCTGTATTGGTCGGGCCACTAGCTGTTCACACGTAGCTCAGCAATGGAAAACTCTCCCCAGCTGAAGATGTGAGTCCTTTGAATTTGCATGATACAGTACTGATTACTGTGTTCTGTTGATTTAAACACCAGAATAAAAAAGTGAACCAGAGTGAGAGCAACTCCTGTGTAGTTGTGGCTTCCTTCAACAAGACATGCAGAGAGACACAACCAGTCACCCATGTCTAATAGCGTGTTTAGAAGTAGCTGTGGTGGCTGCAGAGCAGTTGAATATCCACCTGAGGTTTTGCTTGACTTTAGACACCACACACTTCAAAGGGGGTTGAGCAGACTTGTTTTCTTCAGCAGAGTGTGTGAAGTTGCATGAGGGTCTGTTCGTCACTTTCGGTTAACTGTGAATCTATCTGATCGTTCTTGGAATCGTGCTGTGGAGTGTATACAGTCAGATGGATAACTTGAGATAAAAACAAGAAATTGCCTGAAAACAGCTCACGTGAAACAACACTCACTACTATAATGAAAAGTTATGGATCCATTTCAATGAAGAAATATGAATATAAAGCTGTTACTATTTAAGTGCCAGAAACATTTAAATTATAGACTGTCAAATAAATGACTGGCAGAAAAGTTCAATCTTTCTTTGCATAGCGCCAATTCATAACAAGTGTTATTTCCAGACACTTTACAAAAAGTTGGTAAAAGACATTACTCATTGCTATATTACAAACTAAGTCCCAATGTTAATCCATCATTAGCGTAGCACTTTAGCAACATTTTAGCAAAAGTTACGGTTGCAAGAAAACTTTCTTTTAATAGGCAGAAATCTTGAGCAAATCCAGGCTCATGAAGAACAGCCATCCACCGAAACTGTGCCATGCTTGAAAACAGGATAGTGGGCGATGGGATAAGATGCTGGAAGAAGGGAAGACATGTTGGGCTCAGAGTCCAGACAGAAAAAGGGACCACTCTGATACTCAAGGGTTCAAGGTCAAACTTATCTATTTGAAGGTTTTACTATGCTTTTGTCAGTAATGTTATGTGTGTGCGTGTGCGTGCGTGCGTGCGCGTGCGTGCGCGTGCACGTGCGTGCGTGCGTGCGTGTGTGTGTGTGTGTGGATGAATGAGTATATGTCTACAACACATTACAATACAAACAAATGCTGACGGCAGACTGGTGGCCAGGGAAGAGTTGAGAGGACTGAGCAGGTCTGCTTTATAGCATCCTGAAACCAGCATGCTCAGGTGTGCTGCATTACAGAGTCGTCTCAGACTCCACCCACATCTACCTGCAACAAGGAGAACACAGCAAGCAAAAGAGAGAACAAACAGGTAGAGAGGCCAACACTGAGGCCGTCAACATTTCTATACTAAGGATCTCAAAAGAAAACTCATTTCTAACCTTCTGTCAGCCATCTTGATTCTGAGAAATTTCTGGTGCACTTACAACTGCTGGCCAGTGGGTGGCAGTGTATGGATTGACTTACCAACGTCTGCTGAAGTGGCTGATGTGAAACCAATCTATCAAACTCTATGAACTTAGTGGATAAAGGCTTCTGAATAGCTGTCCACTGCAGTGAGCACGATGTGTGGAAGGGTTATGTGCATGACTGCATGAATCCTGGTTCAATAAAAAAAGTTTGTGTTGTGGCTAGAAAACAACAACAAATGATGAGTTCCCAATGAGATGAGAAATTCAGAGGTTTTCAAATGGATAATGTGGCACCATGTTTCGTCTGTCTTCTGTTGATGACTTATATGTAATATATATTTTGAACATTACTGATGAACTTCAAAATAACTTATTGTATGATTGTAATGTTGTCACAACGCCTCCCATTCTGTTGGTGGCTTATTTGTGGTTTGTCTTGTACCTTTTCCTGTGTCAGAGCAGCAACAACCACACCTTGTTTCCATCATACACTCTCTCTCTCTCTCTCTCACACACACACACACACTCTCACACACACACGCACACATCCACGCACACACACACACACACACAACATCACTGACAAAAGTGGTCACTATGTTTTTCACTTTTGGTATAGTAAAACCTTCAAATCAATAAGTTTGACCTTCAACCCTTGAGTATCAGAGTGGTCCCTTTTTCTGTCTGGACTCTGAGCCCCTCTGAGTTTACATGCAATTTCTTGTGTTCTCCACCACACATTTCCAAGAACGATCAGATTAGTTCACAGGAAACCCAAAGCGATGAACAGACCCTCGTCTAACTTGACACTGTGCTGCAGAAAACAAGTCTGCTCCACACCCTTTGTTGAAGTGTTGTGTGTCTGGGTGTCTAAAGTCAAGCAAAACCTCAAATTGGACATTCAACTGCTCTGCAGACACCAAAGATACTTCTAGACAAGCAACTACACAGGAGTTGCTCTCACTCTGGTTCACTTTTTTATTCTGGTGTTTAAATCAACAGAACACAGTAATCAGTACTGTTTCATGCAAATTCAAAGGACTCACATCTTCAGCTGGGGAGAGTTTTCCATTGCTGAGCTACGTGTGAACAGCTAGTGGCCCGACCAATACAGCTCACAGTTGCTCTATTAAACCACCATGTAGCAACAGCCTTATCTGTTTGTAAAAATTCAACATAGAGGTAGATTCTAACTCTGTTACACATGCAGGAGTGCACCAGTCAGTTTTAAGGAATGAACGGTGCACTCTTTCATACAGTAGTCAATCCTAAAATGAAATATGGAGAATAATCTCAGATCAAAGCACATTAAAGGCTTCTGAATACTTGTTTGGTGTTTGAATGTTGGGTCAAATGTTTGCATATTTGTATCTTGTCTTTAATTTTTATATTCCAAATGGAGCGGCTGAGATATGCGAGACATTATTGAGAGTTCTCTCTGACAATAACGTTCTATCAGTCAATCAATATATCTGAATCTATGTCATATGGGTGACCACGTCCCACCTTTGTGAGATCAAATGAGGTCAGCTCTGGTTGCACTTATGAAGCAGAGTGTAGCACATGTTCAGTGGGGTTTTCGTCTGCATTCTCATGTCTAAATTTAAAACATGTAGTGGCAGAACGCAGTACTGGA